GACCGACAGACCGACCGACAGACCGACAGACCGACAGACCGACAGACCGACAGACCGACAGACAGACAGACAGACAGACAGACAGACAGACAGACAGACAGACAGACAGACAGACAGACAGACCGACAGACCGACAGACCGACAGACCGACAGACCGACAGACCGACAGACCGACAGACCGACAGACCGACAGACCGACAGACAGACCGACAGACCGACAGACCGACAGACCGACAGACAGACAGACAGACAGACAGACAGACAGACAGACAGACAGACAGACAGACAGACAGACAGACAGACAGACAGACAGACAGACAGACAGACAGACAGACAGACAGACAGACAGACAGACAGACAGACAGACAAACTGCAAAGACTCCCACTGTGTGCTTCGCACATGGAAGTCAAAAATTTATCAAAAATGCATTTTTGGAATACCGGTAGTTTACAATTGACACCTATGTCTGCAGCATTCTATCATATCTCAAAGTTTCGGTGACCTATGCTCAAAAAATGATATATGGTGTGATGATGGCAAAATATCACTGTCATGAAAAAGTGGAAGAATTTTGAATATTAGTAATAGTTATTCATGGAATACTTTGTTTACATGGAATCCTATGGAAAATTTTCCAAAATGGCTGCTTTTTTAGATTACTTTGCATATATTTTCTTGAAAACATCACTTTCTCCGTAAAAACATTAAATAGGAATGGCATGCATGTATGTGAATCATCACACAACAATTTTTGAATGATTTACTGTCGTCACATTTTTTTTCATGTTTAATGGTTTTTAAACTACCTCAATCTTGAAAAATTGACCAGAGGTAGTACGATACTGAGCAATCACCTGACCAGTACAGGTGAGAAGTATAGAGCAACCTAACTATACACACACAAATCATGTTTGTTCTAAGGTTCTTTATTGTCTGTTGTAAGTTAGATTGGTCTAATTATTCGCCGTGAGAACATGGTATTAATGGTAATTTTCTCATCAGCTACATGATGGATCTATGCAATAGAGCAGAATGTTAATTATTTTGATGAGTGCTGACATGTGATATTGCACAATTGCATTTCTTTAAAGCTCAATTATTAACCAGCTATTCAGATGCTACCCTAATTCTCTTTATATACAGTCAGTTAAAATAAAATTAGTAAATTCTTCATATACTGATCAGAAGCAAACAAATAAAACCTGGATCTAAACAGCAATGAAAGCAGTGTATTGAATGAGATTACAATATCACTACATCCAATGAGATTACAATATCACTACATCCAATGAGAGTACAATATCACTCCATCCAATGAGATTACAATATCACTACATCCAATGAGATTACAATATCACTACATCCAATGAGTTTACAATATCACCATATCATAGGAAGAATATAAACTTAATAGACACCATAACCATTCTGCAACAGTTCAAGATCTACGGTATGTACAAATAAAAGTAATCCCCCAAACCTAAAGCTTGTCATGTATATTTCTATTCCTCTTACCCATTACAGCCATGGTTGTTAAAAGCCTGTGCACAGTCAATTAATTGTTGTTCAGATAAAGATATCAATGTGGACTTAGCAATGGCTGTAGCAGATTCTAGTGCCCCTGTAGTAGAAAAACTCCAACAGCTGCCACAAGAACCCTGAAATAATAATAACATGTATATGTAACTATTCAAAATAGCTAGACGTCTTATCAATAGCATAAAATAAATAGTTTAAACATATAGGTAGGATATAAGGATGCAAGAACGCACACACCAACTACAAAATAGAATCACTAAAATATTCTACAATAGAATATGTATACATGCACTAGATAGTAATAATTACAGGAAATGAGTTAAACAGTTTGTGTCTTTAGTTCCAAGGTGGAATATAGTTTCCTCTTCAACACGCCAGAGCTGATTCTTGTTGCCTATGACAACAAAAAATGCTAGAAATGAAGAGGAACCGGATGAAAACATTGTATTGTCTGGTATGTTGTAGATGTTTAGCAAACCAAACTCCTCGATGACGCACTCAAGAATCTAATACTACATACAAGTATAATTCTTACCTGCGATTTCACATCAGTAACAACTTTTCTGGAATATTTTGTCCAATCAAATGCTTTAGGAATGTCATTAAAACTGTTCAAGTGATTAGATTTGGTTGCTGAACAATTCTGTGGACAAAGAAATAAATCAGTTACAATTTTAATTCACAACATTTTAAAAAAAAGAAACAAGACATGAAAGTCAAAGTCTCAGCTCTGAACAAAATATATGGCTTTGGATATCATATATATCTAAAACATAGTGTAACAATTATAATCTTGCCCAATGAGAATCTAAATTAAATACCGTATTTATCTGGGTTAGAGTCAATGCCCGGGCAAATGACCACCCCACACTTTTGACACAATAAAGAAGTTGAGGTCATATCCGGGCATATGCCCAGGGGGTCTTTTTTTACACAAAAAATAACAAAAACCTATTTTCTATTTGTTGACTGTGGTTGTATTAACAGTTGACTTTCTTGCAGTCTGTTGTGATGCTTATATTTGTTAATTGCGTAAAACGAGACGAGGGGTGAACGCGAAATAGCTGTGACAACAAAATAGGTATTGTTGCTTTCTGCCTCAGGGCAGCGCCATCACTGCTCATTTACATTAATTTTTCAAGATTTTTTTTTCAGAATCATAACAGTCAGCAAGTCTATAATCAAAGAAAGCTTAGAAAGAACTCCCATGTGCTGAGAGTATTGGAGACACATTAAATATAATTCAAAATTACTTAGCTGAAAAATAATTATGCAAATCAGAAAATTAATATGACCAGATTTGAGTGTAAAACTAATGAGGTCTGCGCAATGTAACAGAAAATCTATGTTTCCAAGTTTAATTGAAATGTGATTAGAACCAAAAAATTATGAAATATTATGCTTATTAGGGAATTAATATGAACAGATTTTTACCCCAAACTAATTAGGTTTGTACATTGTCCTAGAGCATCTTTGTTCGAAGTTTCATTGAAATGGAATAATTAATACTTTAGATATCAGTGTGAAAGCTTAAAATTGGTTAATTATGCAAATTAGGTAATTAATATGTACAGATTTTAACCCACAATTATTCAGGTCTGTCTATTGTCCTACAGCATCCATGTACATTCATTGATATGTGATGTATAGTACACGAGATATCAGTGTGAAAGTTGGTTAAATATGCAAATTAGGTGATTAATATGCACAAATATTTACCGGAAACT